CTTTGCTTGGTAATAAAAATAACTTTTGATATTTCTCCCAACTTCATCCATAGAAATGCAATGAGGCAGAGTTCGATAACACACCTTTAGAAAACCCATATTTTATTTATTTTTATCAAGTATATATTGATATTACAATATTCCAGTATCAATTAATAATTGTTAATCTTCCTTTGGTAACCATTTGCTCGAACCAGCAAGATTTATTTATGTTTATCTTTAAAAATCACTTCATAGGTCAATGCTTGTTGGCTTACATAATTAAGTTAATTAAATGGAACAAACTATTTGTAGGTATAGATAAGCATATAAAGCCTATATTCACATATCTAAATAATTATTTTATATTTCTAGGTATATTTTAATTAAATGTTTTATCAAATACTTGAAATTTACACAAATACAGTTACTCTAGTACTTTTTATTAGATGGGCAATCGACATCTAACCATTAGTCCCCTGCCTCCTGGCTATTTTGTCATCACATTTCGTCGGCCAGATCTTATATGGTTAAGTCAACCACCACCAGGACTGCGAGATCTAGTGCATCAAGCAATTCTGAATAACTGGAAGGATGGAATTAAGTGGGGGAAACACTACTCTTCTAACAGTCAGCAGGATCATGTGAGACTTACGCGTATCCACACCAAACATCTGCGTAATGCTCAAACTAACTTTTATCATAGAGAAAGGGATTTAACAGATGGCATGGATTTAAATAATGAAGAAAAAACAAGTTTGAGACATGAAGATGATACATGGCTTGAACATGAAAATGGTTCTATAAATGTTCATGGATCTACCGAAGATATTGAAGGTGGTGGTCATGGTAGTGCAAAGTTTATGGCAGATCGAAAAATAACAGTTGGCCAAGAGAAGACGGGAGAAAAAGTTAAGTCCATAAAAAAGCATCGAGAAATGGCTTCCGTGCTGTGTGAGCAAAGTATTTATTCTCAAGAGCTACTCAGCCTCGAACAAACAAATGAAAGTTCGTCGAAAGAAGATAGTACTCAACCTTTTCGCTCAGCGAGCTTGGCAAAATGTTCGAGAAAAGCAAGTAATTAAATTGAGTTAATCGAAATGGAGCATTATAAATAATTATTCTTATCATTATATTTATATCTAATTATATCCATTAAGTCAAAAATATAATAAAAAATAATTAAAGTATTTAAAAGATAAACTTGTTAAAGTTTTACGAATAACCAATTGTAGACAAAGTAATTTGACGCTGTTCTTTGAAGCAGCATAATATTGATAACTCCTCCAAGTCTTAACATTTTCATTTTTCACTAAGTCGCTGTACCTCAGTTAATTTTATCTATATTAAGTCATTTCTTTTTTTAAATCAGAAAGATAAGTATGATTCCTAGGCTTATATTTCCCATGTATGTGTAATATATAGAGAACA